TTCAGAATCTAAAATATTGAAAATACATAGGAATTGTTTGTTTTTAAAGCGTTTGAAGTTAAGATGTTAACAAAATTCTTCTAAATAATGAGAGTATGCAAATTATTTTTTAGCTTCAAAGCTAAKTTTATTATAATTTTTTAAGTATTTAAACATTTGAAGCTATTTTACCAATATCATATTCATATTACCTTTCTACTCTATGTCCTCCCTTTTCAGTACTGACCTTAGTTAATCACAATTACACCTTTTATCTAATGACCCACCACATTTTAATAATTACATCTATATGTATTTTCTGTAAGACTGATTATATCACATTTCATTAATTAATTTAAATTTTTAAATTTATGGAGCTAAACGTGAACTGCTGAGGGTAAAATATGGTATGTCGCTTACATATATAACGGAGACAGTAAATAGCGTCTTCTTAAGTGAGTTATGAGTTTTGACTTATGAGCATGTAAAGTATTATTTTGGAAATTCTCAAATTCACTGTTCAATTAAAATATAATATATACCAATGAAAGAATATAGATGTTCCCACCTAAAAATTTGATAATAGGCCATTCACTTTAAATCAAAACTACAGTATACTACCATTGAACCTAGTTAATAATAATTGTATGTCTGTAAGATAGGAAAAACACATTTGGGAGTCGGGAGCGCCTTCCTCTTAAGGTACCTAGTCAATTATGCAATTTAATAATTTTGTTATAATCTAAACTTAGTTGTTAAAGATATTTATGGAAAATAACATTTGTTGAACAGTATTCTAAATTAATCGCCAAAAAATTTAGTCTACCTATTGTATGAATTCTTGTCATCACATCGATGTGATTGATCAATCAGGTTAACAATCAGCCAAATAAACAGTACTGTACAATATAATGTAAATATTATTGGCTTAAGTTTAAGTTAAGAATCATAATGAGATGTTTCGTTGAACCCCCAAAAAATTGATTTTTTACACTGCCCCTGAATGACAATACTGTATTGGAAATAAATATTAAATACCATAACCTTTGTACTCATTAGTCATTATTGAAAAACCGAATTCATCTTTTTACGGTATTCGGTCTTATAGGTATAGCTAAATAATAAAAAAACATACATACTCATAAATTTATATTATTAATTGCCTTACAAATAAACAAAAATAAATTGCTTGTATAACAAGGTTAA